GGGGACAAAAAGACTGCTACACGGGGCAGCAAAAAAATTTGTCTTACTTCTGTTCACGCGCTTTATTTGCATTCTACTATCTTCGCTAACCAAAGGTAAAGTTTTCATTGTTTGGTCATGGGGGAGGCCTAGCGGCCTCCCTATAATGTCTACTGATTATCAGTCGACATGGCCCTTTGGAGTCAAAGCTTCCAAAAGCTTTTTACCCCAAAGGGCATTTTGTTCTGCTTTTCAGTATGCTCAAGTATTTGGAAGTCTTATTATCCAGTGCCCAAATCCGGTGTGGAGTTACGGGACGTAGATTTGATGAAACCTCCTCCAGCTGGTAACGTTGATCCGTTGGCTGTATATTCCAGTACGTCATCGTGTACTAGAGTAACATTCCAAGAGGAAGTTCAAGACGATCCAGGGACAGGCAATAAAGAACGAGTCGACCAGGATACAAATATTCCACGAGCTACAAACGAAGTACCGAGAATCACCTTTGTCGACGAAAGCATGCTCGGAGTTGTCGCAGTTGGTGACGTGACAGACCTGCCCGAGCAAGAGGATGAATTCGACACCGACTCGGAGAGCGATGCGGACAATGATACAGACATAACGTTCAGCAGATTTGGTCGCACCACCCGCGCTCATTTCCGCCTTGAACTCTAGAAAAAATTGGGACTATCAGGGCAATCAGGACTATTCAGGTATGGAATATGATTAATTGTTTTTGGCCAGGATGGAGTGACATGTCTGTCATTTTTGTTGACCATTATACATTGAGAGTAATGTAGCTGATCTTATTGGTAAAAGAAATATTTTGTTATTGCATTCATTACTAGTCAAATTTAAACACTCATTTATGTTAACTTTCCGTTTTCCTTGTAATTTTCTCTTTTTGTTTACAGTGTGGATACCCTAACTGGGACCATCTCACAAAGCTAACCAATCATATTGAGGTATTCATACAAAAGATGACAATCCGTAAATTTGCTTAATGTTACTTTTTATTTCGATGTTCTATCCCATTGGCTGTTTGATTTGAATATCGTAATCTGATTTGTTACTGATATATTCTCTTTCAGTGGTCACGGTTGGTGTATCCTCGCTGTAAAAGCGCTTAAGAATAGAACTGTTATGAGTTATACAAGCCAAATCTGCGGTAGTCTTCAAATATCGTTGGTCATAAGTCTGTGGACATCTTTGGCAGTCTCAGTGGACATCTTCGGCAGTCTTTGGACATCTTCGGCAGTGTTCGGACATCTTCGGCAGCCTTCAGACATCTTCGACAGCTTTCGGACATCTTCGGCAGCTTTCGGATATCTTCCTCACTCTTCGGAAGTCTTGAAATAATCCCGAATTGTTGGAAAATGGCCAAAAAAACTTCTTCGATACAATAAACATAGGCCCAACATAGATATTTCTCCTTTTAGGGCGTAGTTTGTTTGTTTATGGGAAAAAAAATAATGTTTCATAGAATTTTTTAATGTTAATGTTAAAATGGCTAAAAATTAACTTTTTAATGTTATATAGCTAAAAAAATAAGTGTTTAGTGTTATCGAAGTACCCCCATTCAGACCCTCTATATGAAAGTCATATATTTGAACTGCGGATAAAGACGTGAATGAAAGTGATCC